ATCAGCACCAGGACACCAGGTAGAATTATGCCTCTGCGCGCTATGCTCAGGTCAAACTTTTACACCCAGAAACGAGCGGGCAAAGGCGGATAGAGCAGCGAGCGAGAGCCCCGGCCCCGGCGGCGGCAGCGAGAGTCCCAGCGGCGACTTCCCCGAGTCCGGGCATCGACAGTCCCGGGTCCCGGCGGCGGGTCTGTCCGTGTGTCTTTGACTCTGTTCTCGCCATTTCCTGTGTGGAGCTTTAGGCTAAAGTAGCAGCTGCCGCTAATCGTGGAGCTGCTATGAGTTGACGCAGCAGGTTGACGTGACGTGAAGTGAGTGACAGGACAGTTGTCCAATCACACTACACTAAATAAACAGAGACTGTGATGTCATTGATGTCGCAGTAAAGTTTGTGCCCTCGGCCCGAAGTGAAATGCGCCAATCAAAATCATTTTAAAATAGTAATAATAACGGCCTGTTGGGGGGTGGGGCACCAGTGGCCGCTAGGGGGGCATGGCCCTCAAATGCCCCACCTTGCCGCCGACACAGTTAATTGTCCGTAACAACCCCAAACTTACCTGGTTTTCTTGCGCAGCTAATTAACTGACAACGTTTTCCGACTAGGCTGTTTTTGAACCTTCTTGCCTTCGTGTTGGATGTTGTTACATTCTGAACATTCTGCCATTGCTCGATGTTATTTCAAAGTCATAGCCTCACTCCATCGGTCTTTCTTTAAGTTTTAAATACCCCGAGTGGCAGTCTACGCTATAATGTCTGCGTGTTTTAAAATATATCTGATATCGAAACAAAAAAAAGCATAACTAAATAAATGTGGCCCTATAGCCACTTACGTGTTGGCAAACAGCTGAAATAAATTAGAAATAATAAAATAAACTGCATATAATATGTGCCTCGTAAACCTTAGGCATCAATAACCCGACACAACCTGAACCTTCAGAACATAAAAACGAGGTCAAATGGGCTAATTAAGGATATGACGTACACTTCATTCTACAAGCATAGACAATGAGACTCGTCTTTTCAGATGTAGGTAACAACACTAACAATAACTTTTTTTTTTTTTTTTTTTAGTAGAATGTAATTAAAATATAATTTTTCGTCACGTCATCCGCCCGACCCGCGGATTAACTGCGGATACCGCGGTTGTAACCGCAATCCGCGCATCTCTAGTATAAGCACAGACTGTATATAAAAGGGCATAGCTAATGGATATTATCACCGCTCTCTCTGTAACTGCTGCTGTGAGCCTCATCATTTTGGACTTAAAATGTTCCGATTAACTCACATTACATGATCCTGGTACTTTTATTTTGTTATTTTATTTTGTAATTGCTAGTGTCTGTGAGCGGAACACTGTGGGTGACGTCACACTCTCTTAGTCCACTTCTTTATAGAGTCTGTGGGTGTGAGGCAGCATTTACCTGTGGAGTGGTGACGTGTATCTCCAGCGTCCAAACATCACTAAGATCACCAAGAGGATCCCTCTGCTGACCATGACCTTCAGAACATACAAAAGAGGTAAAATTTTACTTTAAAGGGTCTGGACCCGATTTTCTCCCATGTATTTGAGCAAAATGTATCCTACAACAGTTCAGATTTATTGTATAAGCAGATCTTGAGGTGTAAATAAGTCTGTTACTTGGGTCAAACAGTTTTAGACTTGTTAATTCCTCTGCTACAAAAAAAAAAGGAACGCATCAAACGCAAACCCCATGTCTGGAGAGAACACGGTTAGGGCATGCTTTCACACAAACGGGTCAGCAATAGAATGTCTGCAAAAGAGCCGTGTGGCATTCAAGGATTATCCATCCATCCATCCATTTTCTTCCGCACGCTCCCGCACGCCCCCGCACGCCGTACAAGTTTATTGTTGACAGCAGCGGCCGTAATGAAATATGTTCGCACTTGTCAAACCTCAAGTGAGAGGCAAGACCGAGTCCAAACACGACTGAATCCGAGACGAGTACTACAACACTACAATCTACCCACACTACCTTGGTGATCGACTGGTAGATCGCCATCGACGTATTGGGCACCCCTGGACTAGGGCACCCGGGGCGATCTAGTGACCAAGTTCCTGTTATTATGTGCACCTTATTTTTTTTTCCCCCGGACCTGCATCTATTGTATGATTGACTTCGAGCGCCTTCAGTTGACGGAAATCCGTCACAGGACGGAAAACTTTAATCCACGGGCATTGTGTGTGTGAAAATGACTTTAGTGGGACTAAACGTGCATTCAAATTGTAAATGAAACATAATTATGCAGGCATAATAAACAATAAACAAAATACAAATTTTCTTTAATCACTGCTGTCCACCAAAGATTATTTTCATCTGGTAAACTCGGGGATCAATATGATTTCCCTGTTCTCCAGTAGAAATTACTACATGAGTGGCCGTTCATTTGCAATTTCCCACTGGGCAAGTCATATTTACTATGATTCCTATAACACATGGAGGCAGCATAATTACATGTTGAACCTGAGACCTTCTTGCTGTGAGGCCGTCACCTGTCCAGCCAAGACCACCTGACTTTACAACTGTCCTCTTTTATTTACGTTTGTTACTTGAGTTTTACTCTGGACAGCAGATGTGACATACAGAGGTTCCTTTAACTGTTACACAGAAACTAGACTTTAAACAAAGACTAAAGCAAACAGTGTTTCCCATTAATACAGGAGTCTATGGTGCTCACATAATCTAAAATCCTGCCCCAATGTCTAAAAACAACCTTGTGGGACATACGAATCTTAATCTTTTTTGTTGGCATATTAGACAGACAAAAATACACAGAGGAGTTTTGAATATCTTATTTAGTATTTGAGTAAACTAGATATCACTGAAAAATTCCCTAAAAATTCATGTTTTCCCTCATTTTTTAGAGGTTAAACTTCATCAAATCAGGACTGGAATTACATAACAAAAAATCCTGTACATTTTGTCAAAATCTTAATTAAAGATTGGAAAGTTTAGTGCTAACTTAAGGGGTGACCCTTATGTCCCCATGGGGAGAAAAATGCATTTTGAGAAAACGCCCTTTGAAGTTACAATGGCCCAAATAACTATGAGTAAAATTAAATATTAAAACATCTTTCAGTGCAGAATAGACATGAAAGCGTACATGCTTTGAGACCAAACTGACCAAAAAACTGAAAATTTATAAATGTGTTTTGCCTGTAGTTTCTCTAATAACTGATGTAAAACTGTGGTAAATATTTAGCTCAGGTTTAATCCACCAAACCAAGTCAGAAAAACATGAACCTGTCCTAAAACAGTGAGTTAAGTGGACACTTACTTTTTCACTGGTGTCTGGAGAGCATCAGATCCACAGCAGGAGAAGTGCAGAGGAAAGAGTTCACCACTGACATATTATAGAGTCAGGTCACATGACCCAGTGATGACCAGACTGGATCTGCAGGTTCTGATGGGACTGTACTATGGGATGTAAGAGATCACCCAGACAACCCAAATATAACTGTTCTTCCTCCACTGATACAGACATGGACTTTACAGATTATGGCTGTGACCCAACGGATCCTCTGAATCTGTCACTGGATTTAAGAACGATAAGACCTGAGACTTCTCCCTCAGACGTGTAATTAAATAAATGCTTTACAGATGCAGTTAATGCCATACAGTGCAACATTCCAGGCTAAGCAATAAGATCTCAGAGACAAGCAGAAAAGTTTAATAGTTTATTTTTTTAAATGACACACAAACAAATAACATTGATGAATACAAAAACAATTACTGTAAAACAAAAGACAGAAGGCATATCCAGTAGTGATGTCAAACCAACCCAAACCAAAGAAATGGGTTCAAAAATTGGGACCCGAGCCTCCATGGGCTCCGAGCTCCGCCCCAGCCATGGGCTCCAAGTCTCGGCTCCGAGCCTCTGCCAGCTGCGAGCTCCGGCCCGTAACGGTCTTTCTCCTTCTTTTCTTTCTTTCAGATGCCCTCAAGTCGTCCAAATAGAGGCGCCCAACACGTTTTTTTGACACTGCGGTCTTATATTTACTATCACAGGGTATTCACAAAGGCCCGGAAGATGTGGTGATATGATCTCGCCCACAGCTCAATGAAATATGATTGGCTAAGACAACTGTCAAACTCAAACTCATCCCCACATTGACTTGAATTGCGCGCGTCTTCGCTGCAGCCACTGAAGGTCCTGCAGGTGTTTCTTTAGTTCAGTGCTGCAGGGGGAGTCACTGATTTACCCAGATACCACTGGAAGAAAAATTGTGATTGGTCCATTTTCACTCACACATTATATTAACCCTTTGTTTCCCAGGAAATATTAATCCAAGTTAAAAACAATGATCTAGAAATCATTACTAGTGTAGTGTTTATTACTCACTGAATAAAAAATATTGAAAAAAAATATGTTAGTAGTAAAAAAACTTTATTCAGTATTTTTTCTTGGGCCTTCACTTCACCTTGAAGGCCCTGAGGGTTCCCCTCTGCTATTTACACTAAAGTGGACTGTTCAGGACCTACACACTCACAGGATGTAGTGCACATAGAAGATTTTAGTGGAGTTTGGGACTAAAACATCTGGATCAGGGTCCTCTTTGTGCAGGTTACACACACAAATATAAAATTCCTGTGTCCTCGTTTGTTAATCGAAGCTACAGAACAGGTTTTAGGAGAGGCTACGATGGGACTTGACCCACCTGTGCCCACTTTACTTCTTCTCACTGAGTTTTCCAACCCACGCATCACTAATTTCCAGATATCATCCCACAAAAATGTAAATATTTTCGGAGTTGAGTCTCCGGCAGAGCACTCCGCCCACGAGCCTACGTCACCCATGCTCCCACACAACAATTCTCCATTAATATATAAAACACGATGCAAAACTGTACACAACAACTTTACAAACCTGAAAAACAAACATGGTGATCTAAATATATTATGTGTTAACAGTTAATATCCCTCTTTATGATCAGAGCATGACAAAATGCAAATAAAATGTAATCCCATCTTGATCCTCCGGGTGGCGTGCACAGTCTTGTTTTTTACACTTGCACAGTTTTGAGTCATGGCTTTCTACAATCTGCACAGAAATAATAATTTAAGGTTAGTCATTTCTAGTTTGGATCATTATTTTACTACGCTCTGGAGGACTAAAGGGTGGTGATGATGGAGGAGGTAATTAGACATAAATATACACAATGTTGTTTTTTTTAACAAGTCAAAGTCATAACATTTTGTACTTACTGTTACTCATCTGGAGTTCTCTGGCACATTTTGCACATGATCAATCGTATCTATTGGGGAAAAAATAAATAATTTTACATCAGTGAGAGTGAATGAAAGAATCAGGTTTGCACAGCATTTTCTCAGGTAATAACTAACACGTCGCTCATGGTGCAATGTCACAGTAGCAGAAAGGACAAAGTGGGCGGGGTTAAAGGTTCAAATATAAGGGCCTGTTCACAGGAGAATGCTTGCGGGTAAAAATTATAAAATATTTTATCGGAAGTGTCTTTTGTTTAGAAGATGATGGCGTTTTTGGGGCTTAAAAATGCAAAAAATTTGCGCGGAAAAGCTGAATACGCTAGTGTTTCCATCCACACTGCCCATGATGCAAAACTCTGGTCAGATCTGCTCACGTCGGTGTACACGTTTACGTCACATACAAAAACAGAAACAAACATGTCGGATGGCATGCATACCCAATCGAATTCCACACACTTTTGCGTCACCGTATGCACGCAGATTTCCTCCCGTCTAAACGCGGAAGAAAATGTGAAGACGCCACTTTTGCGTCTTCTGTTCAGACCAAAATCTAGTGATGTGTCCTCCGTGTCGAGGCTTCGAAGCGTGTGCAGAGTAATCGAGAAAGGCTCTGGTGAAGCACGTATCGAGGTTTGTATCGGTGACGTATGTGGTGACGTTCGAAGCCTCGCGAAGTGGTTTGCAAATTTGCCGCACGATTCGAAACATAAGGGCCAAAGGAACGCAACGGATTCATCCAAAACATTTTGTGGTGTTGGTTTATTGTGAGTTTGGTACATTCTATTTGAGATTCTTTTTTTCTTTTTTTCTTTTTTTTTTTACAATGGAGCCAGCAAGAAAAATAATATTTGCCCCTGTCTGGGAACATTTTGAGCTGATATCTCCTAATAAAGTATATAATAATAATGACATCATTAAACAAACAATATTACTAATGTGTTTCCCCTGCTCTAATATATTTCTTGTAAAAAGAAAAAAAAAATCTGGTGAAGTGTCTACTTTTTCTTTTAACCTGACCATTATATTATGATCACAGACTCCATGTTAATAAATTCACAATTTATGTTGATATCACAAACATTCAAATATTTAATCATTCATTTGTTCAATAAACATAAATCTTTCCATCAGAACCACGATGATCATCTTGATTGTTATTATTATTATCACTCTGGCTGTTATACATTTTTTGGCCACTTGATGTCGCAGTGGAGCAAATGAAACATCTTGAATCATCGGTGCAAGAGTCGAGCAAATGGACGGAACACTTCAGAGCTTCATGGGGCTTCATCTCGACATCACTACTGTCACCGTATAAACGTAGCTTCAAACATGTTCCTGACTCATGGTTTGAAATCAGGTACAGGCCATTTAATAAAGAAAATCTACAAAGGTCTTTAACATACCTTAGAATCGAAAAGTGGTCCAAACACCAGAATCCACAATCCCTGGAAAAAAAAAAAGCAGGTGTTTACTACAGAAAGAGGCTGTTGTAAGTCATGTGTCATTTTAGATTGATTCTTGCATGTTTAAGTAACCCCGTGTTGTCCTGCATTTGAGACTTGACTGCTCAGAAAACCTCTGTTTGCACTTACCCCCATCTACACTTGCTCCTCTCCAGCAAAACACCTTCAATACATACATCATGAATTTTGGACTTCCGGTCATCGCGCAATCCATACTGGGAAGGATTTTCTGAATGTGAGCATCAAACCGCCATGTTTGTTTTCCCAGTGGGATGCGTCTATTGACAAAGTTGATCTTTTCAAGTCTTTTGAACCATATCACTTTAGTTTCTGGTTCTGATATTGTCATATTTTAGTTTTTGGATTCGGACATTGTAATTGTGTGGTTGTTGGATGTCCAAACACTGGGAAACGGCTCGAAAAATGGGCTTCAGACATCAGATGTGTGTGACTGCAAACCTCTGTTCAAACTGTTTCCCTTCCCAACAGAATTGTAAAATAGTGAAAGGTGAAGGTGATGGGCAGGACAGATCCACAGGAAAGACCAAAAAAAAAAAAGGAAACCTTTGGCTGCCTAAGAAATCATCCCGAGTTTGCAGCGAACATTTTGTATGTGGAGATCCATCGAAGCAAAATCCCGTTTGTTAAGTGAGAGGTGCAGAAGACAAACAGATTGAGCTGCACTTTCTTGTTCTTGTTGTTTTACAGCAACATCACGTTTTGGTCTCTTTGCAGTGGAAGGTGTTTCTTGGTGAACAGCCAGCCCTTTCACTTTGATGTTGACCTTTTAAATTTTTAACCAGCGTTGAGTGGGGGATTGGGATTTTGCTTTGATGGCGCTCCAAATACAAAATGTTCTCTGCAAACTCAGGATGATTTCTTAGATAGTCAAAGGTTTCCTTTTTTGTCCTTCCTGTGGATAAATACTGCCCATCACCTTCACCTTTCACTATTTTTCAATTTCTTTGGGAAACAGTTTGAACAGAGGTTTGCAGTCACATAGAACTGATTCCCTTTTGCACTTATGGAGTTCGCAAATTTCCAAAGCTCATTTTCCGCTGTTAGGACATCTAAAAACCACACAATTATGATGTCTGAATCCCAAAACTAAAATATGATAATATCAGAATCAGAAACAAAATCGATATGGTTCAAAAGACTTGAAAAGATCAGCTTTGACAATAGACGCATCCCACTGGGAAATCAAACATGGCGATTTGATGGTCACTTTTTCGGATGATCCTTCCCACTATGGATTGTGCGATGACCGGAAGTCTGAAATTTGTGATTCATGTATTACACAGAGGCCCCATTTATACAAGCCTATCTCAACTATCCCCTCTGTCTCTAGTTCAGCTTCAAGACCATCTACAAGAGTAAGTTTTATTATTAACATTAAATATGTTATGTTGTTATATACTGATTAACTGAGATTCAGGAGCTGGACCACGCCTCACGCCTCAACCTCCTCTCCAGCCAACCACAGCTTATCTCAACCACGCCTTCAATTAACCAGAAGGCCCATGTATACGGCCTCAACTCCAGGTCTGTTTTTGATGAAAATACAGCAACATAACATGGATCATATATTATTCCCGGGGCTACTGAGTGGTTGGCTGCTTTTGTGGCTACTTGCCTCACACACTGAGTGGCTTCTGAAACATTTTTTCTTTTTTGAGCTCAGTTTTTAACATCATATCATGGGATTTTAACCAATTAAGAAGTGCAGCATGTGCAGTTCAAAGGTCACAAGTAAAGGACTGTTGGATTGTGGGTTTGTTTTTCCACTTTCCACAACCATTTCATCAGCGACTGAAACACCAGAGCGGACTGAGAGTGAGACCTTTCCTGCTGTGTTCGCCTGGCGCCCCCTGGAGGCTGCTGTGATGCTGCAGGACACAGAGGAGGGACACTTTTGGCTCTTTAAAACAACACAAGCCTGTTATCTACACACCTGAAGTGAATTGAAGATTGCAAAGGTGATGTACAATCCCTTGGATGCAGTTGATCCAGAATACACATTGAATTGAAACAGGGCAATTACACGAGGCAGCCCAAACAACAGGAAGGAGATCAGAAGAAAGACCAGGCGTACCAGTAGTTTGCCATTAGCCACCCTGATAACCGCTCTGCTATTGCGGACTATTCTGGACAGAACCACACTGAGCAGCACTAAGTTGGCCAGCACTATGGTCAGCACTGGTACAGCCAAGTACAAAAAAGTCTTGGAGCTTCCTTTGACCAGTAAACACAAGCCGTCCTCAGTGACATACAGGCCTTGTGGTGCTGTGAAGGCTACTGTGATGGTGGCCATCAGCAGTGGAGGTCCGTACCCCACAGCAAAACCATAGGTGAACATTTTAACATTGGACATGTGGGAGAAGGTCAAGGAAGTTGTGCAGTAAAGCAGCAGGCTCGAGACGAGCATCCAGAAGAAATAGGAAAAGTCAAAAAAGTTCCAGAAAAATATTAAGGAGCCACATTCCCAGTGATTGGAAAAGGTGACAGAATCATACGATAAAGAGATGAGGATACAGTCTTCCACCAGCAGGCAGAGGGCCGTGTTTATGATGGTCACATGTCTCATCAGAGAGGTGGGGTTTGTACTTATGTTTTCCAAAAACATCCCTCCAGTAAGAAGCATATCAGAATGCAGAATGCATTTACTCCGGCTCCTACTAAAACATGTGTGCTATATCCATATTCTCTAAAAGGTATATGCACGTAAGTCTCCAGAACTGAGAAACTGCTAAGGCGAGTGCAGTGACAAAACACAGTCGTGTCTTTTCTTTTAGTGTAACATCCATTATCGGTCCATCCCTTCAGCTTATGGTCCCAGTGCACACAGCGGTGCAAACTTGAAGAGAAGGTCTTCATCTTGAACCTCACATCCACGTCATGGATCTGCTGCTGGGGAACTGTGACCAGGACCACGTCTGTTTTGATGGTACCGTTGTCTGAGTATGGGAGGACAGGGGAGGGCGTCAGAGCGCCCAGTGTGGAGAAGGTCATGGTGGTGATGAAGGCACCTGTCTGTCTGGGATCTCTCTGTGTGCCTGGGATCTCAATATAAACAGTGGGGCTCAGGTCTTCTGTGTAAGGTCTGTTGAAGCTGCTTTTTTTCAGCTGTATGTGTGGAGTGGAGACGGAGATCTCTCCTTCTAAAGGTGCTGACAGATCCTCCAGCGCCCTCAGGAGGTTGGAGGTGGCATTGAAGCTGCTGTTTGGAGACAGAGAGTGCCAGGAGCCGAATGCCTCCTTAGAAACAAGGACATCCACTGTCTTCAGAACATTCTACAGACAAAAGAGGAGCATCAGTGATACTGTTTAAATGTAATGATATTTTATGTAATATCTACTCAAACCAGACATCAGCACCTTCATGATTGTAGCCGTGACATTAGTCCTAACAGCAGAAGTCGCTTTAAGGATGTCAACAACTGCCAAGATGGTAGAAGCTGAATTATGAACTTCTTTTTGAAGAGAAGTAACATTTTGAGAGAGCTTTTCAACAAACACCTTCAGTTCTGCAGAGCTCAAATTCTGGTGATACAATACAAAACATACAGTGTTAGTATCATAACAGTTTGAGTGCTGTGTTCTGACTGAATTTATAAAATACAACTTATTCTTCTTCTGCTACATAAAATGTGGAATCACTCCATAATTGGAAAACAGAATCTTTGTCCGTATTGAAGTGATACAGAACACATTTGTTGATGTGCAGAGCGAGAGCTCTGATAGTTCTGGTGACTCACTTTATTAACTAACCAAAGCAGCACAGAGGGAATAAGTTGGTCACAAAATGAAATGGAGGTGTGTAGAAGTGCTGCTTTAGGCTGAGTTCATACAGGGAGCAGGGGAGGGGAGTGAGGGGAGCATGTGGGAGGGCATCCGGGTAGTTTTAATGTACTGCATATACCATTAGATCACAAACAATATACTATACTATTCATTCAGCACAATAAAATGGAATATATAATAAAATATATAAAATAAATTACAAATACACAGACTTTGTGTGTTATGTATCTATGTATATGTATTTATCTGGGATAGTTGACAACCCTTTCAGTAACATGAAGGGATATGAAGAGAAGTGTTTGCATCTGCTGCCTCCACAACTCCTGAAAACTCTGCTGCTGCTACTTCTACTAGTACTATTACTAGTACTATTACTATTACTAGTACTTGTACTTGTGCTGCTGCTACTAGCGCCCTCTACTGACCTGTGACTGGATCAGCAGCTGCTGGATCGGGGATAAAATGCTGGAGGTGACACTGGTGGAGTTAGACCCTTGGAGGAGACACATGAAACTTAGTGAAAAACACAGATGGTTTTATTTTACCTGAGAGGGAATAATAGTCTAGTGTAGTAACAGTGGCAGCATTGACATTATGAAATGTACTTGATCTTAACATGGTCTGAACAAAACCAAAATCAAAGATGATTCTCCTGATGAAGTCCCTCACTTACCTGTCGGAGTGGTTGGCTGGGAGGTGCTGCTATTCACTGCAGTGCTTCCAATGTAAGTAGTAGGTGTAATAGTAGTAGTGAGAGTAGTTATAGTAGTAATAGTAGTAGTAGTAGTAATAGGAGTAGTAGTAGTAGTAGTAGTAGAGTAGTAGTAGTAGAGTAGTAGTAGTAGGAGGAGTAGTAGTAGTAGTAGTAGTAGTAGAGTAGTAGTAGGAGGAGGAGTAGTAGTAGTAGTAGTAAGAGTAGTAGTAGGAGGAGTAGTAGGAGTAGGAATAGGAGTAGTAGTAGTAGCAGTAGTAGTAGTAGTAGTAGCATTAGTAGTAGTAGTAAGAGTAGTAGTAGTAGGAGGAGTAGTAGTAGTAGTAGTAGTAGTAAGAGTAGTAGTAGGAGGAGTAGTAGGAGTAGGAATAGGAGTAGTAGTAGTAGCAGTAGTAGTAGTAGTAGTAGCATAGTAGTAGTAGTAGTAGTAGTAGTAGTAGTAGCAGTAGTAGTAGTAGTAGTAGTAGTAGTAGTAGTAGAGTAGTAGTAGTAGGAGGAGTAGTAGTAGTAGTAGTAGTAGGAGGAGTATATAGAACAGTAGTAGTGCCGGAGACCCATATTACTCCTGTAAATGATAAACAGCATTGATCAGGTCATTTATGAAAAGTGTTTTTTTTCTTTGTTCTGTTTTGCACATGTGCTGGCATATACAAATTCTGTTTATGTCTATACAAATATGTTTATCTTTCATTTCACATCTCTGAGGGCCCTGCGCAAAAAACTTTTGTATCTTTTGCTCCATCTACAGTTTTAAAACCACATCTGTCTTTATCAGGTTGTTTTGACACAGTCTGAGGAAGCAGTTTGGATCAACTTAAAATCAGTGGCAAGTCTGCACCTGCCTCCGTCTGTGCAGGTGAGTCTGTGTCTGCAGGTGAGTCTGTGTCTGCAGGTGAGTCTGTGTCTGCAGGTGAGTCTGTGTCTGCAGGTGAGTCTGTGTCTGCAGGTGAGTCTGTGTCTGTCTGCAGGTGAGTCTGTGTCTGCAGGTGAGTCTGTGTCTGTCTGCAGGTGAGTCTGGGTCTGCAGGTGAGTCTGTGTCTGCAGGTGAGTCTGTGTCTGTCTGCAGGTGAGTCTGTGTCTGTCTGCAGGTGAGTCTGGGTCTGCAGGTGAGTCTGTGTCTGTCTGCAGGTGAGTCTGTGTCTGTCTGCAGGTGAGTCTGGGTCTGTCTGCAGGTGAGTCTGGGTCTGCAGGTGAGTCTGTGTCTGCAGGTGAGTCTGGGTCTGCAGGTGAGTCTGTGTCTCGTTCAAAAAGCTTTTTCTCTGCTGTCACCAGCCTGTACAGTCCTCACAGTGTATTTAACCACAGGTGAAAGAAAAGAACACTATGTCTAACAGGGAAGTAAGTTTGTGTGTATTCACAGGGGTTTGTTCATTGACGCCACTGCTGATTTAAATCGGCAAGTTGCTGCACTGAATAAAACTGCACATTTGGTCAAATATGGTGTCAAATTTGATTGCGGCCCTAGGAAGCGGTGAGGTCCGTGTGGCTGTGTTCTTTACAGCTCTGGTTCTGACCTTCAAAAAATCTTCACAAAACCCCACAAAAAAATTTTAACTACAGGGAAAAAAGCCCTTGCTGCTAAGAGACATGAGGTTCTAAAGTTCTACACGCAGAGACTGAATATCACACTGACCTTGGAGAAGAACCAACAGATTCGAGCTCAGTCCACTCCCAGGTAAGTTCTAAAAAGGTCAGAAGAAGTTCAGGAGAAGTCCGATTTACAGCATTTTACATAAGGTAGATTTACGTCCTCTTTTTCCTGGACATGTCCTCTTTTTGGGACTCAAAAAAACAACCAGAATAAATTTTTTATATGACCCCAAAATGCCCAGGATTTTGACTTTGTCAGTTGAGTTTTGTGTGGGACAGTTTTCTTAGTCTTTGCTCATTGATCAGATACAATCATGGATCTACTATAAGATCTTATTACATTTCCATGGACACAATCAGCAGCGCTTCTCCTGCACCGTGTGTCTAAACTCCGCCTTCCCTCCTCACACGGACGGACAGCTCCTTTGATCACCTATCTGAATGTGCCAACATTTATTAAGTTTCTTACAGTTATATTAAGTTATATAACTACTGTAAAGAGATTCTAAGTCATAACTCAATTCTTCATGTTTTCAAACTCTACAAACTGTTTTATTTTGATGAAAACTGACTTCATATTAGGGGAGATAAGTTTATAAATCCCAGCTGTAAAAGTTTGTAGTTAATGCAAACTCAAACACATGTAATCGCGGCATGGGAATAGTCTGACATCTCAACACTATCCTGCAATAAATACAGGATAAAACATGTTCTGTGCCCTAGACTAAGGGGTCTTAAACACTTAAATTTTTGGTCCAGTCTGTTTTTGTTTTCTGCGCATGAAGCAGCTGAGCTTGGACCGCAGCGTTTTGCATTTAGAAATAATTTTTTTGATTTTGGAACATCATCTGTCCTGACAGAGACAGACGTCCAAATCGGGTCAAACCCAAAAGACAAAACTCTTTGCTCCATATTCCTGAGCCGTGCTCCTGTTGTCATAACAACAGTAGAGACAGGCAGCTCCGTGGAAAGTCTGCTGGTGCAGATTTTAGGGAATTAGTGTGAAACTCAACACAAAATGAAAATAACACAACATTTTAAGTTCTAAATCCAGATCACAGTGCAGACTTACAGGTGTGAGCACAGACTGTATATAAAACAAATATTGTCGGCGCTTTCTCTGTAACTGCTGCTGTGAGCCTCATCATTTTGGTCTTAAAATGTTTGTATTAACACACGTTACGTGATCCTGGTGTTTATTTCGTTATTATTTTGTTATTTTATTTCGTAATTGCCAGCGTCTGTGAGCTTCATTTGACTGGAGCCGAACGCTGTGGGTGACGTCACACTCATTTAGTCCACTTCTTCTGTGGGTGTGAGGCAGCAGTTACCTGTGGAGTGGTGACGTGTATCTCCAGCATCCAAACCATCATTAAGATCACCAAGAGGATCCGTCTGCTGGCCATGACCTTCAGAAAACACAGAAGAGGTGGAACTTTACTTTAAAGGGTCTGGATCTGATTTTCTCCCCTGTATTTGAGCAAAAGGAAATGCGGAAGGAAATGTGGGATTGTTTTTAATCACTGTAAAGCACTTTGTGTTACATGTTTGTATGAAAGCGCTTTATAAATAAAGTTTGTTTGATTGATTGATTGATTGAAAATGTGTCTTACCCCAGTTTAGATATATTGTTTAAGCAGCTCTGGAGGTGTAAATAAGTCTTATGCTGCCTTCATGTGGTGTGGGGAAGATGATCCTTTCCACTTGTAAAATGTAAATTACGAGTGTGTTGTGTTCAAGTGCTTTCGTTGTTGTAGTGAAGTGAAACCTGGTGGACCCCAGAGTTTATTCTGTCTTGTTACTTGGGTCAAACAGCTTTAGACTTGCTAATTCATCTGCTACAGCAAGAAGAGAACGCATCAAAACTCCAACCTCATGTCTGGAGAGGACACAGTTGGGACACACGTTCACACAAACTGGTCAGCAGTGGAATATCTGGAGAAGAGCCGTGTGGCATTGTGTGTGTGAAAAATGACTTTAGTGGGGCTAAACGTGCATTGAACTTGTTACTGAAACATAATTATACAGGCAAATTTTCTTCATTCACTGTTGTCCACCGAAGGTTATTTTCATCTGTGAAACTCAGGGCACCAAGGCTGTTCATTTGCAATTTCCCTCGGGCAAGTCATATTTACCATAATTCCTATAACACATGAAGGCAGCATAATTACATGTTGGGAAGTTGAACCTGAGACTTTCTTGCTGTGAGGCCGTCACCTGTCCAGCCAAGACCACCTGACTTTACAACTGGCCTCTTTTATTTACTCCTACTTTTGTTACTTGAGTTTTACTCTGTACAGCAGATGTGACATACAGAGGTTCCTTAACTGTTACACAGAAACTAGACTTTAAACAAAGACTAAAGCAAACAGTGTTTCCCATTAATACAGGAGTCTATGGTGCTCACATAATCTAAAATCCTCCCCCAATGTCTAAAAACAACCTTGTGGGACATATGAATCTCAGATGGAGCCAGGATTTTTTTTTTTTTTTTTTTTTTTTTGCTTTTTTTTTGTTGGTATATTTAGACAGAAAAAAAAATACAGAGTGGTTTTGAATATCTTATTTAGTATTTGAGTAAACTAGATATCACTGAAAACATTCCTTAATCATTCACATTTTCTCAGATTTTCTAGAGGTTAAACTTCATCAAATCAGGACTGGAATTACATAAAAAATCCTGTACATTTTGTCAAAATCTTAATTAAAGATTGGAAAGTTTAGTGGTAACTTTAGGGTGACCAACAATGTCCTGCCCTGGGCGTCTGTTTTTTCCTTTTTTTAAGTGGTGGAAATGTCCGAGTTTTCATGATCTTTCATTGGGGCTATTAAATTGAGCGTCTCTTGTAACTCTCTGTGCACTCAGAAGGAGCGAGCAGACACAAACAGTCGGTCAGTCTGCAACATGCCGAAGTGGAAATGCGCATTTAACGATGACTTGTACAAGAAATTCTCCGTTTTCCGTCCCGGTCGGGACAAGTGGGAGGTCATGTGCACAGGTTGTGAGGTGAGAGTAGCTCAATGTCGAGGCTCCACCCCTGGTAAGGTGTCCAGGTTTTCACAAATGGAAATATGGTATAAATACCCTAACTAACTTAAGGGGTGACCCTTATGTCCCCATGGGGAGAAACATGCATTTTGAGAAAACGCCCTTTGAAGTTACAATGGCCCAAGAAACGAATGAGTTAAATTAAATATTAAAACATCTTTCAGTGCAGAATAGACATGAAAGCGTAAATGCTACGAGACCAAACTGATCATAAAACAGAAAACTGTAAAATGTGTTTTGCCTGTAGTTTCTCCAATAACTGATGTAAAACTGTGGTAAATATTTAGCTCAGGTTTAATCCACCAAACCAAGTCAGAAAAACATGAACCTGTCCTAAAACAGTGAGTTAAGTGGACACTTACTTTTTCACTGGTGTCTGGAGAGCATCAGATCCACAGCAGGAGAAGTGCAGAGGAAAGAGTTCAACACTGACATATTATAGAGTCAGGTCACATGACCCAGTGATGACCAGACTGGATATGCAGGTTCTGATGGGACTGTACTATAGGATGTAAGAGATCACCCAGACATCCCAAATATAACTGTTCTTCCTCCACTGATACAGACATGGACTTTACAGATTATGGCTGTGACCCAACGGATCCTCTGAATCTGTCACTGGATTTAAGAACGATAAGACCTGAGACTTCTCCCTCAGACGTGTAATTAAATAAATGCTTTATAGATGCAGTTAATGCCATACAGTGCAACATTCCAGGCTAAGCAATAAGATCTCAGAGACAAGCAGAAAAGTTTAATAGTTTATTAAAACACACACACACACACACACACACACAAACAAATAATAACATTGATAAATACAAGAAAAATTACTGTAAAACAAAAGACACACGGCATATCCAGTAGTGATGCACAGGTCAGACCCGACCCACCAAAACCAAACCAAAGAAATGGGTTCAAATATTGGGACCCGACCCAAACCTTGCTATGATGGGACCTGACCCACCTGCACCGGCTTTACTTCTTCTCATTGAGTTTTCCGACCCACGCATCACTAATTTCCAGATATCATCTCACAAAAATGTAAATATGTTGTAGTTGAGTCTCCGGCAGAGCGTGGAGCAGATAAATGTTGTGTTGATTCATATTTCATTCTTTTACCATGTGATAATAAAAACAAAAACATTCCTGAATCTAGTGATCTTTACTGGGCTTTATAAAAACCCTCTTTGCATTTAGCTGTAAGATTCTGGGAACGCTCCGCCCACAAGCCTACATCACCCATTCTCCAGAAATATACAAAACATGATGCAAAACTGTACACAACAACTTCACAAACCTGAAAAACAAACATGGTGATCTAAATATATTACATGTTAACAGTTAAATATCCCCTGGAAGTAAAATACGCCCTCTTTATGATCAGAACGTTGCAAAAATGTACCACTTTTTCCAAATGTAAATAAAATGCAGTCCCATCTTGATCCTCCGGGTGGCGTGAACTTTAGTTTTGAGTCATGGCTCTCTATAATGTGCACAGAAAGAAGAATTTAAGCTTAATCATTTCTGATAGATTTCTGTTTGGATCATTATTTTACTACGTTCTTGAGAACTAAAGTGATGGTGGAGAAGGTAATAAGACATAATATTTTACATATCAGAGTCATAACAGCAGTGTTGGGGAGTAACAGATTACATGTACTGGAGTTATGTAATCAGAGTACAAATTATGAGTAACTGTATTCAGTTACAGTTGCTGTTTCAGTGAGTGGTAATTGGATTACAGTTACTTTGTTGAAATAAATGGATTACACAGTGGGATTTTCCTGTTTTCGCGTTTTGGGCTATACCCCCCACCCCTCCCCTGCCTTTTTTTTTTTTTTTCCCCGTAATTCCACTCATTGCCGGAAACTAAACCAGGTCTAAACCAGGACTAAAACCATGTCTAAACCAGGACTAAAACAGGACTAAACCAGGTCTAAACTAGATCTAAACCAGGTCTAAACCAGATCTAAACCAGGACTAAACCAGGACTAAACCAGGTCTAAATCAGGACTAAAACAGGATTTAACAGGACTAAACCATGCCGCGCAGACCGTGTCTCCTCCTCTTCTATCAATAATATTTTTAATTTGGTTCAGTAAAATTTGGGCTTTTTATTTTCTTTTTTCAGACAAAACATCTTATGTTACGATATCCTCATCTTTGCTTCTCTACAGCAAATCAAGTAATCCAAAATAATCAGATTACATTACTCACTTTAAGTAATTTAATGGATTACGTTACAAACTACATTTTGGTGTGTGTAATCTGTAATCTGTAGGGGAATACATTTTAAAAGTCACCTTCCCAACACTGCATAACATCATGTACTTACTGTTTCTGATCTGGAATTCTCCGACATTTTTTGCACATGATCAAAAGTATCTGTTGAAAAAAAGATGTCATTCTTTAAAAACAGGAAAAGAAAATGTGTTCTCGTCCAGATAAAAGCTCACAGTCATGTATTGTGTGGTAAAAACTGCTAAACAAGAAATACATTGGGATTGTAAAATATAATAACATAATAATAATCTTCAGATGATGTTGCTAGTCTTAGATGCAGGATTATAATTAGTTTGCATGTTCTGGGTTGATGGGGGAAACTGCATAGTCTGAAAGAAACCCACTAAGGCACAGGCAGAACATGCAAACACCACCCAATCTGACACATTGACAAAAAAAAAAAAAAAAAAAAAACAACTTGTGAAATCAACTCCCTGAGACTATCCCAGACACTTGATTCTCTGCCATGGTGCATTTATGGTTTTGAAATCAATTAGTTCAAAATGCAGAGAAATTATACTTCTATACATGCATCCTGAATTTCAGACTGGGAAGGATTTTCTGAAAAAGTGAGCATCAAACCGCCATGTTTGTTTTCCCAGTGGGATGCGTCTATTGTCAAAGCCGATCTTTTCAAGTCTTTTGTACCATTTTGTTTCTGGTTCTGATATTGTCATATTTTAGTTTTGGCATTCGGACGTCGTAATTGTGTGGTTGTTGAATGTCCCAACAGCGGAAAACAACTTGAGAAACGGGCTTCAGAAGTTTGCGAACTCCATAAATACAAAAGGGAATCAGATGTGTGTGACTGCAAACCTCTGTTCAAACTGTTTCCCTTCACAGCGGAATTGAAAAATAGTGAAAGGTGAAGGCGATGGGCAGGTGAGATCCACAGGAAGGACCAAAAAAGATAAGAAATCATCCCAAGTTTGTAGCGAACATTTTGTATGTGGAGCTCCAACAAAGCAAAATCCCGTTTGTTAAGTGAGAGGTGCAGAAGACAAACAGACTGAGCTGCACTTTCTTGTTCTTGTGGTTTTACAGCAACATCACATCTTGGTCTCTTTGCAGTGGAAGGTGTTTCTTGGTGAACAGCTGGTGCTTTTCACTTTGGCGTTGACTTTTTAAATTCGTAACCAAGGTTGAGCGAGGGATCGGGATTTTGCTTTGACATACAAAATGTTCGCTGCAAACTCGTGATGATTTAGGCAGCCAAAGGTTTCATTTTTCCTCCTTCCTGTGGATCAATCCTGCCCATTGCCTTCACCTTTCACTATTTTTCAATTCCACTGGGAAGAGAAACAGTTTGAACGGAGGTTTGCAGTCACACACACATCTGATTCACTTTTGCATTTATGGAGTTCACAAACACATTTCTCGAGCCATTTTCCACTGTTAGAACATCCAACAACCACACAATTACGATGTCCGAATCCCATAACTAAAATATGACAATATCAGAACCAAAAACAAAAGCGCTATGGTTCAAAAGACTTGAAAAGATCGACTTTGTCAATAGATGCATCCCACTGGGAAACCAAACATGGCGGTTCGATGCTCACTTTATTGGAGGATCCTTCCCAGTATGCACTGCGCAATGACCGGAAGTCTGAAATTCAGGATGCATGTATTGATGCTTTTTGAGATGCTTTTTGTCTTTTCTGTCTAGTTTGAAATTTAGGTACAGGCCATTTAATAAAGAAAATCTGCAGAAGTCTTTAACAAACCTTAGAATCGTAGAGCGGTCCAAACACTAGAATCCACAATCCCTAGAAAAAAGAATGTGTGTGTTTACTACAGAAAGAGACTGCACACATCACGTCACCATCATTCCATTAATAAAGATTTACACTGTGGCTCTTGGGAACAAAAGGACTTGTTTCTACTAAATCGCTTTACATCATTGTTGTGTTTCATCAACACGTGTTATAGTTTGTTACTAAATATTTCACGAGGATTGTTCCAAACCTACTTACAGCAGGGTTTTGTCACTGGTCATTGGTTTGTGGTCACACGGATTACCTCCTTTCTATACTTTTTGATTGATGTATTTATTTTGTAACATTGCTCCATCATTTGGCATAAAACATCCATGGAGACAAGCAGGTGGCACAAAGGCCAGGTCAAAGATCAAATCTGTGGAGAGGCGACCACACTAACTGTACTTCTGTGTGTCAAACGAGTCTGTTTCACATGTAATCTTTGCATTTCATCAGTGTATTTTCAAACATCTGTCCCAAAATGCAAAACCTCTGAATAGAAGCGTTTGACCCTATTTCCACACCAGTCTGAACGTAGCAAAAGTATGTATTCTTCAAATATGTTGGAAGTAACTGAAGATAGTAACTGAAGAATTGCAAGATCAGTACTTTTAAGGTGACTGAGACATGTGTATGTTTTTCTTGAGAGATTCAAATGGTTTTACTCCTCACCAGAAAAGTGTACTTTGAAATACTAGAATACAATGTATTCAGGGGCGGACTGGAAATGTCCAGAGTGACCGTCTGCCTGTGGGCCGATTTGCACAGTTTGTGGGGGAAAAGTCCAGGGTCGTTTGTGGTTGTAGTCCGCCCCTGGATGTATTACAGTGTGGACCTGTTCACCAGGGAACCCACATAGGCGTCTGTAAGTATTATCTACACACCTTAAGAGAATTGAAGACACCAAAGGCGTAGTAGATTCCAGAGCCCATAGCGCCACGGATTGCTCCCACTCGAAGTCCATTAGTCAGGCAAAACAACAGGAAGAAAACGAGCAGAAAGACCAGCCGCATCAGCAGCTTGCCATTTGCCTCCCTGTTAACTATTCTGCTACTGCGGACCAGCCTGTACAGAACCACACTGAGCAGCACTAGGTTGGCCAGCACTATGGTCATCACTGGTACGACAAAAAGGAAAGAAGAGTCATTTCATTACAGAAATTTGGTAAACACAAATCGTAAAAATTGACAATCACATATTCCCCTTGTGGTGCTGTGGTGGCTATTGTGAACGTGGCTAACAGCAGTGGAACTCCATACCCCACAGCAAAACCAATGGTGAGCATTTTAACATTGGACATGTTGGGGACGGTCAAGGAAGTTTTGCAGAAAAGAAGCAGGCTCGAGACGAGCATCCAGGAGAGAAGGGAAACACAAAAAAAGTGCCAGAAATACACTAAGTAAGAACATTTCCAAGAGGTTAAAAAGATGTCAGGTTTGTGAAATGAAAGGGCGAAGATGCCGTCTTCCAACAGCTCGCAGATGGCCATGTTTATGATGGTCACATGTCTCATCAGACAGGTGGTGTTCGCACGTATGGATTTCCAAAAACATCCCTCCACTAGGAGGCATATCAGGATGCAGAATACATTTACTACAGCTCCAAAATAATAAGATTCATTCACATAATTACACATAGGAGTATGAGTGTTAAGAACTGAGAAAGCACCGGGACGACTGCAGTTACAAACCACAGTTTCATTCATTTGATTAGTGTAACATATCTTATAGTGCCAACTCCCCACTCCTCCCCTCAGATCATGTTTCCAGAGAACACAGAGGTGTTGGCTTGTGGAAAAGGTCTTCATCTTGAACCTCACATGCACTTCACGGATCTGCAGCTGGGGAACTGTGACCAGGACCACGTCTGTGTTGATGGTACCGTTGTCTGAGTATGGGAGGACAGGGGAGGGCGTCAGAGCGCCCAGTGTGGAGAAGGTCATGGTGGTGATGAAGGCACCTGTCTGTCTGGGATCTCTCTGTGTGCCTGGGATCTCAATAGAAACAGTGGGGCTCAGGTCTTCTGTGTAAGATCCGTTGAAGCTGCTTTTTTTCAGCTGTATGTGTGGAGTGGAGATGGAGATCTCTCCTTCTAAAGATGCTGACAGATCCTCCAGTGCCCTCAGGAGGTTGGAGGTGGCATTGAAGCTGCTGTTTGGAGACAGAGAGTGCCAGGAGCCAAATGCCTCCTCAGAAACAAGGACATCCACTGTCTTCAGAACATTCTACAGACAAAAGAGGAGCATCAGTGATACTGTTTAAATGTAATGATATTTTATGTAATATCTACTCAAACCAGACATCAGCACCTCCATGATTGGAGCCGTGACCTCAGTGATGACGGCAGAGGTCACTTTAAGAATGTCAACAACTGACAAGATGGTAGAAGCTGAATTATGAACTTCTTTTTGAAGAGAAGTAACATTTTGAGAGAGCTTTTCAACAAGCACCTTCAGTTCTGCAGAGCTCAAATTCTGGCGATACAATACAAAACATACAGTGTTAGTATCATAACAGTTTGAGTGCTGTGTTCTGACTGAATTTATAAA